TGGGCGAAGCCGAAGTCTGGCATGTGGAACTACAGCAACTGTGGAGGCCATATGCCCCAGGACCCTCTGGATGGATCTCGCCATAACCGTCCCCTCTCGTTGAATTCGATGGATATGGTGAGCTAGAGTCTGCTGTCTGTCCTGAGGGAGGAAGGCTTTCTCCAACATCGAATCCAAGCGGGCTCCAATGAAGGTGAGCGTCTGTGTTGGAAGAACAGAAGATTTCTCTGATTAATACGTAGACCCAGACTATCTAGTAAGGCATAGGGTGTATGGATGGTGTCTAGGAGTCCTTCTCTGGATTGCGAGACTAACAGCCAGTCATCGAGGTACGGGTAAATTTGTATGCCCTGAAGGCGTAGGAAGGCACAGACAGGAGCCTCACATTTGGTAAAAATTCTCGGAGCTGAAGCCAGTCCGAAGGGTAAAACTTTGAACTCATAAAGTTGGTTTGCAACAGCAAAACGAAGGAAACGCCTGTAATTTGGATGAATTGAAATATGAAAGTAGGCGTCCTTCAGGTCCAGTGAGGTGAACCAATCCCCTCTCCTTAACAACGGCAAAATGTTTTGAAGGGTGGTCATACGAAACTTTCTCGGTATAATAAACTTATTCAAGTCCTGTAAATCCAAAATCAGACGTAGACCACCGTCCCGCTTGGGGACCGTAAAGTATCTGGAATAGAATCTGTGGAGTCCGTCAGATGGGAATACTTGACGAATCGCTCCTTTAAGGAGAAGTTGATGTATTTCATCGAGAAGTACCGGCGAACATGAAGTAGACCGGATCGGACTCGATGGAGGGATGATGTCGAATTATATTCGATAGCCGTGTTGAACGATGGACAATACCCACCGGTCAGATGTGATGGACTCCCAAATAGGGAGTCGGCTTTGGAGCCGGTCCCCAGATGAGAGGGGGGTGGGTATTAGAGGAGCGTGAGGAGTGGTTCGCCAATCCCGTCAGCGCTGTCTCCGATCGTCGAAACGACGGCGGCCCTGTTGGAAGCGCTGTTGGGGCTGAGGGCGGTGGCGCTGCTGCTGCTGTTGCTGGCGGTGTTCCGGCAGCTGTCTCTGTTGGTATGCCTGCCTGTAGGATGGCCGATTCCAGGACCACTTACGTCTGCTATGTGACTGGATCTCCATCCTGCACGCCGTCATTCTTGACTCGTGTAGTTTCTTGAGTTTATGGTCGGTACGTGAATGGAAGAGTCCCGAACCATCAAAAGGCATCTCTTCTATTCGCCGCTTCGTTTCCTCCAGGAAATTACAACTCTGAAGCCATGCGTGTCTCCAGAGGGAAACGGCACCGAACAAGGCCCGGGAGTCAGTGTCCACGTGGTGATGCGCCGTGAACAACTGCTGCACCGCGATCTGCATGGCTTCTTTGATCAGGACCTTTGCAAGGTCACCCTGGTGGTTTGGGAGGGTGGAGGCGACGTTGTGGAGGCGCTGCATAATAAAATATTGATAGCGCGCCAATGTCGCCTCATAGTTAGAAATGCGAAGTCCTAAGCCCGAGGCAGCATAGACCCGCCTGGCCAGGGAATCTATTTTCCGGCCCTCCTTATCCCTTGGCGCTGTATGTCCCCTCGCCTCCCTGCCTTGCGAGGATTCGACGACCGCCGAGTTTGGTTTCGGGTGCTTTAGCAGGAAGGGGATGTCTTCTTCCCTGACCCTGTACATAGATCATATCTCCTGGACGTCAGTTGAGGATGTGAAGGTAGGTCCCAGGGCTGCGTCATCGCCTGCCGCAGGGTAGTTATAAGTGGCAGAACGATAGAGGTCGATTGCTCCCCGCGGACGACGTTGTAAAACTTATCCGTCGACGGTCCCTGGTGCTGGGCAGCGTCGATGTCCAGGGACTGGACAAGCCTCGACATCAGCTCCGCGAAGGAGACGTGTGACTCATCGGGTGACGCAGGATCCTGGGATGTCACCACGACGTCCGGGGAGGTTGAGTCTACGTCAGAGTCATCCGAATCAGCACCATAGTATGGCGGGGCAGAAGATGATGACTCCACCAGTGATAAGGAGCGGCTGCTTCCGCTTTGTGGGGATCGAGGCGGTACCCTCCTCAAATCCACAGACCGCGGTTGGTCACGGGGCGGAGGTGAGGATCGCACTCTGGGAGCAGGGTAGTATCCCACAGAGAGCGGGTCTCCCCAGGGTTGGCAGTAGGGATGACGCCAACTCTCCGGCGTTGCTCTACCGAGCGGCTCCTCCGATTCCCTGGTGGGGACAGGCCAGCTTCTGTCTCCAATGTCACCGCGGGCATCGGTGTCAGTGACCTCGCTCTGGGAGGGGAGTCCTGAATTTCCCCATCCGAGATAGACCCCCGCAGAGTTGGAAGGGGTGCTGGCGGGAGGTCGACTGCACGTCGGGGAGACCCCTGAGGGGTGACCGGCATAGCCTCTTGAAGAATCAGTTGGGCGGGGTCGGTATCGTAACCGCCACCGGTACCAAAGGGCCCGTTGGCTCCGAGTCCCGATTTTGGGAACGATCCGTAGACTTAGCCTTCTTTGGAGGCTTAGAGGCCATTTCCTTTATGGCCTTCTTATGGCCTGCCGGCTTGTCTTTGGCATGTTTGCGCTTCTCATGCCTCTTTCTTGGTGAGGCAGAGGGGGCCAGCGAAGCGGATGCACCTTCATCTGAAGGGCGTGAGGGTGGAGCCACAGAAGCGGAGCCTGGTTTTGGGATAGAGATGAGCGGGTCTGATTGCATCAGGGCCCTATCCCAAAGGAGCCTCCGAAGCCGGTTTTCGCAGTTCTTCCTAGCCTGCTTAGAGAAGGCTAGGCAATGAACGCACTTATCCGTCCTATGCCCCTCCCCAAGGCAGAGGAGGCATAGGTCGTGCGGATCAGTAGGTGCCATTTTTGACCCGCAGTCAGCACATTTGTGGAAAGCCGCCCGCTGCGCCATCGCAGAAAAAGGAAGAAAAGAGAGATAGTGCAGAGGGTAAGTATATATTTTTGGGGTTTTTTTTTTTAGATCGAAGAAGAAATGAGAGAAAACTACACAGAACGGGAAGCGAAGTAAGGGGAAAGTAGTTTAAGGGCAATATATAAGGAGAGAACCAAGAATAGCCAAAGCGAAAGTTGAAAGTGGCACGAGGCACAGCGAACTGCGGTCGCAAAGACTGAACAAATGGCGGACGCTCCGCTCTTTATAGCCCATGGGGGAGGGGAGTGGAGCTTCCCACCAAAAACCATTAGCTTTCAATCTTCCGGCCAAAGGCACTGTGCAGGCGCAGTACCCATATGTGTGATCCACAAAGGCCACGACGAAGAACCACTGATTGGTTCAAAATTGAGAAAGGAGTTCGGCAAGGTTGTATACTGTCGCCCTGCCTATTAAACTTATATGCAGAGCACATCATGAGAAAGGTGGGGCTAGATGAATCACCAGTTGGAATTAAGATTGCTGGGAGAAATATCAACAACCTCAGATATGCACATGATACCACTCATGGCAGAAAGTGAAGAAGAACTAAAGAGCCTCTTGATGCGGGTGAAGAAGGAGAGTGCAAAAGTTGGCTTGAAACTCAACATTAATACAACTAAGAGCATGGCATCTGGTCCTATCACATCATGGCAAATAGATGGGGAAGAAATGAAGGTAGTGACAGATTTTATTTTCCTGGGCTCCAAGATCACCGCAGATGGGGACTGCAGCCAAGAAATTAAAAGACACTTGCTCCTTGGGAGGAGAGCTATGGTATATCTAGACAGCATACTAAAAAGTAGAGACATCACCCTGCCGACAAAAGTGCATATGGTCAAGGCTGTGGTTTTCCCAGTTGCAATGTACGGCTGTGAAAGCTGGACCATGAGGAAGGCTGAGCACCAAAAAATTGAGGCCTTTGAATTGTGGTTCTGATGGAGACTCCTGCAAGTCCCTTGGACCGCAAGGTGATCAAACCAGTCAGTCTTAGAGGAGATCAACCCTGACTGCTCTTTAGAAGGCCAGATACTGAAGATGAAACTCAAATATTTTGGCCACCTAATGAGAAAGAAGGACTCACTGGAGAAGAGCATAATGCTGGAAATAATAGATGGCAAAAAAGGGGATGGCAGAGAATGAGGTGGCTAGATGGAGTCACTGAAGCAGTCAGTGGGAGCTTAGGAGGACTCCGGGGGATGGTGAAGGATAGGAGGAGCCTGGAGGAATGTTGTCCATGGGGTCACAATGGGTTGGACGCGACTTTGTGACTAGCATAGCATAGCATAGCATAGCATAGCATAGCATAGCATAGCATCAACTTTTCAGAAATACTTATCTAACATCCAAAACAAGGATGCCTCTGTTTTTAAGACAAACACTGGCTATTACAGTGGCACCTTGGCTACAAGCTTAATCCATTTCAGGACTCTGGACGTGACCCAAATTGGTTGTGACCCAAGTCAAATTTCCCCATAAGGTTCAATGTAAATAAGGTTAATCCATTCTGTAACCATTTTTTAATCACAAAAATTTGAAACAAAGTGACAAACAACAACAAAGCAACAAAGTACTGTACAGTACAGTGGAGAACACTTACCTAGGTGGGGGGAAGGTTATTGCTTGGAGGAAGAGTCCAAACGATAATCGTGTGATAGAGATCATGCTTGGGGTGGGGGGCGGGAGATGGCCACTATCGCGATCACGCTTGTGCAGGGAAGATGGGCGCAATTGCGGACATCTCCCCCTGCCCCCAATCATGCAGATGGGCGCAACCGCGGTTGCACTTGTGCAGGGCGCGACCACGGCCATCTCCCCCTCACCCCAAGGACAACCGTGATCACGCCCTCCTTCCCTGCACAAGCATGATCGTGATCATGGCCATCTCGCCCCCACCCCGAGCATGTTCGCGCAGGGAAGATGGGTGCAATCGCGATCATCACCCAATGCGGAGTTTGCGACCTGAGGCAAAATTTTGCCAAAATTTCTCTTCACGACCTGATTTGGTCGTGAACTCAGGTGTTTGTGAGCCAAGGTACCATTGTATTGCTATACAGTTACCTCTGACAGGGAAGCGTCAACTTTAGAAGGAATTTTCAGGTCCAGCCATGGTTGATAATTTTCCAGCAGTAAGGCTGGCCTATAGAAACAAGAAAAATATTGTTAAGTAGATTTTTCTACTTAAAAAGATTGTTTTGTACATCTTCCTCCAAACTATTTTTCTAATTCTGGATCTTTAACTTACCTATGTCTATTACATTTGACATTGCCACATACAGCACAGCTACAACCTTGGGAATACAGTTCTTGCACATCTGGTGGCTAAGAGAAAACAATAAGTGTTTAGTGCTTCAGCAATATAAAAATCCATTTGCCGTTTTTAAATGTATGTAATGTAAGTGATCACATACTGTCATCACACAGAAATAGGAAGGAATATCAAATTGTTGAGAGGTGGTTCTCCCCAGCTATCTCACATTAGGACAGTCTGAGTACACACACAGATCCTGCTTTACTCATGATTTAAAAAAGATCCACATTGACAACCATGGATTTCCCACTATCCTACTAGACTTTGCCCCAAGTGTATGGATAACATACACTTTTCGATGTTAAGTGAAAACCTTTTTATTTTCCCATCATTTTAATGTGTAGCTGATTTAAACTGGGGTTTTATTATCTTAAGTCATTGGATGCTGTGCTATTTTGTTTTATCTTATCTGTTTTTTCATTGTAAGCCATCCCGAGATGCTAGTGGGGGGCAGGTTAGAAAAGCTTTAAATAAATAAATAAATAAATATCAATGGATAAATGAATAGATTATGTTCAACAGCTAAGAGAAATATCCTTGGCCTTTAAAATCATTTCTTAGTGGCTAGCGCAGAATTAGCATATATTTCCTTAAATGAAATTTAAATATTTTACAAATCCTTGTATTATCCAGTAAGGGAAAGACAAATAATTATCATTTGCCTTCTCAACAAATTTTCTGAGATAGCAAAGGGAATGAGCAAAACTTATAACTCAACACAAAATCAATTCATTATTTATTTTAGAAAGGCTCTCTTTGATGGGTGAAACTCAAAGATACCTCTCTGCTGAGGCAAAAGGCACCACCGACAAATCCCTCCACACCCCACAAGCACATCTGCATTAAAGGACTGGGGGATCTTGTGGAGCAGAATGAGGTAATGGGAGAAGAAAAAGTCCTACAGCATGAGCAGAAGTCCATTCACATGATATTTGATTTCAACAAGTATTTTCTTCTATATCAAAAATAAGATGTTTTAACTTGGGGCAGCAGCAATGTGGTTCTCACTGTGGAATCAACTAAACTATTAAGTTAGATCAACTTCCCAATGCAACAATCAAACCCAAACACATTTCGCAGCCTGATGATATTATTTGCCACATATTAGGTATTCAAGTGTATTAACAAAGGTAGACATTACCTTGCTTTTGTGTTTGATCGTAAATAGAATATTTGGTAAAAGGGAATCTGGTCTTAAGGAACAATAGAATGTAACAACTCCTGCCACAAATGACCAGAAGATCATCAGAATGTGCAGATACCTCAAAAATTAAAAGAAAAACAACAGTATATAAGCCAATGCAAGACAGTATTACCTTTTTGCTATCAACTTTGGAAGAATAAATCCTATACTTGTGCATGCCACTATATCTCAAATTTACACAGCAATCTAGAAAAACATGTCTTATGGCATTTAATCTCAAAAATGTGACAAAAAGTAGATCTCATTTAATAAGCAAGAACCTTATTTTTTAAATTGTCCATCTAAGTATTACCTCACCCATTTCTAAACTTTCAAACAGATATGCTTATCTTATCTGATACTTCATGAAAATGTTATTGAATACTTAACCTAAACCAAAATCTGCTGAACACTGAGCGCCAAAGTGGAAACAAGTACAACAGGGGTGGGAAACAGCCCAAGAGCCAAATTCTATTTAGAAAAGCTCTTGGGAAGCACATTCTGAGTGGGGCAGGGGATGAAGGCAGTCAGGCAGACCCAAAGGTTAAAGGGGTGGGACCAAAATACCAGCAAATTATTATTCAAGGCAGATTTGACCCCCAGACTTGAGGTTCCTCACCCCTGAAATATAAGAACAAAGTATGCATTAAGTTCCTTTTAATTCTAGAGGATTTATACAGTACCATTGTCTCACAGTTCTAGAGTGACAGTTCTTATGTAATCCTATTTAAATTGACTCTCTTATGGTCCTCTCCAGTTTAAATATACTGTGTCACAGCTCAAAGGCAAAAACAGTTATTTTTTTTATTCACACACACACATTTATAGGCTGCCTATAATTGCTGAGGCCTTCCTAGGCGGCTTACAATGCATAAAACATATTAACGGAGTAAAAACACTTTAAAAATGCAACTAAAACATAATGAATTAAAAATCTATAAAAGCAATTAAAAAGGGCCACAGCATGCAGGCTAAATGTTAAAAAAAATCCTAAAAAGATATGTCTTTGCCGGGCGCCAAAAGGAAAATAGAAATGGCGCTAGGCGCATTTCTCTAGGGAGGGAGCTCCAAAGATGGGGAGCATCTCATTTAACTCTGCTGAGAAGTGGAGTTTGGCCAGAGGCTCCTTGTCCTAAGAAGGTACGTGTCATTCTGCAAAACAGAAACATGATGCAACAGCTCTTTAGAGCACCACGGAATGCTTTCCAGAAGCTTCTGCTGCCTTTCCCAAGGCACTTGAAGAACAAGAAATCGCCTACCGTGTGAATTCAGATCCCACCTGGAAAAGCTTAACATCTCATATTAAAGAACGTATTTACATGATTTGTTAAAACAATGAATTATTAACTCAATTTGCTTATTTGTGTTAAATTGTATTCATACTTGCTTAATACCATGAACTGCTTTGTTGTGGACATCTGATTTGAAAAAGTTGTTTCTAAGTACTAAAATGCATAAAAAGCTGACACTTTCAGATAAAATGGGAAGGTTACCTTTAGGAATCTTACTGTGACCCAATCTCAGGTATTATATGCTTAATTTTTTACACTATATGGAAATATTTTATCCCAACACCTTTTTAAAAAGAGGTTAGAAACAATGATGTGAAATTTGGAATCTGTGATGAAACTTCCAGATTAGGCAGAACAGAAAAATTCCCATGGGATTGAGTTATCAGATTGTATCTGATGTTAGTCCTACTTAGAGCAGGCTAACACTGAGAAAAAAGAACATTTGTTCAACTATAAATAGTCAAAAATTAGGATTGGGTCTAAAACATGCAAGGGAGTGTGGTGCCATGTTTTGCTTCCAGATTCCAGTAGAATATATCCCTCATGAATTGCAGCTGGAGAGATTATTTTTGTCAGGCTCATGATGCAGGAGGAAAGGGTTTAATCCACCCATCCCCAGGCTCATCCTTATAAAACACACAGGGGGTGGACAATCTAGTGCTCTCCAGATGTGCTGGTCTACAGTTCTTCACATGCTTGGCATTGCTGAAAAGAGTAGCTACAGCGCAACACATCCGGAATGCACCAAGCTGGGAAAGACTGAGTAAGCCTTACTCCCCATCCTACATCTGCCTCCCTTCCCTGCTAGTTTAAGCAGAAAAATCACACAGCTCCAACTGACATGTCACATGCCAGATGTTCCTAAATTATTTTGCACCATGTTTGTCTTGATAAAGTTTATTTATGCAGATTTCTAGTCTATTTTCTTCCTGGAAAATGTACATCCAAAGTGTCTTTTTTCACTGTTAATCCACACCTGCCCTCATGAATTTTGATGTCACCACACTATGTTCAAGCAGTTGTGGAGCAATTCCTTCAATCAATGGCTACAAGTCATTATGGATATATACTGCCACCAGTATCAGAGCCAGAACACTTCTGCAAAACATGTGAGCTGAAGGCACCATTGCACTCATCCTGCTTGTGGGATCTCCCTTGGCATCTGGTAGGCCACTGAGTGAACATACTATTGTACCAGTTAAGCCAGGGGTGAGCAACTTCAGAAAGCTATTGGTTATTTCCCTTCCTCCTCCATGGGCCATGTTCCTGTCTCTACATACCCATGCAATTTGTCAGTGGCAGCAAAATCAAATCACTATGGATCAAAGCTCGAATTTAGCTAGTTTTCAAGTTAATTTTGGCAGTTACACTGTTTTGTGGTGGTTTCCTACTGAAAATCATCAGTACATTTCTTGCTACTATTATATAGCACGTTACCCACCCCTGAAATAGATCTTAGGTTTGAGTCAACATAGCTCTTCTAATGCATAAGAACTTGGAATAGAAATTAGTAACTTCAGCTGAAATTTAGAAGAGCAGCCTGAGGAATGCAGTCTTACTGCATTTTTTGCATTTTAAGCTGTGTTCCACAGTAACAGAGAGGTGTAACCAAAGTCAGGTGTAACCAACTTTTGGCTCTCCTTGCACTTTGGCCTATAATTCCATCCACTCTCACTAGTGATTATGCTAGCTAGAAGTGACGAGGAATATAGGCCAAAACATCTGTTCAATGCTTAGAGTAGCAATGGGTAACTGTATGTTGTCTGCTTACTTTACTGGTCAGGCTTTTAGAAAGCTGCTGTCTAAAATTATAATCAGCAGTTGCCAAGACCGAACAGGCCCAAATGAGAACATGCGTAACAATCTATATGGATATGATATTTTCAAGCCATAAATATTATGGGAATTAAAAGGTCATTGCTTGAAAAGAAGGGGCTAAGCAACTTTCCTTAGAAGTTCTGAAACTCAAAGCCTAGTAAAAGCAATTCACATAACCAGCTTTCTTAGTGTCACAAGTACAATGTGAATGTTGAGCAGGAAAGAGACGTAAAGTCAAACTTACAAACACACACAGAATTTTCACCAGGTAACTGCAGAAAAGTAAAATGTCTTCTAGATGAAAAAAGTGGTAACAAGCCCTTGTAAAATGTTGCAAGTCTTCAGAGTTAGGTTTGTAACATGGATGTCAGGAGTGTCAATTCCTCATTAAGGGATGAGACAGTTCCAGTAAAACCATAGTAGCAAAACCACTGTTGAAGAAGCCAGTCCTAGATCCAGTGGCTATGGAGAATTATCATCCAGTTTTCAACAATGCCTTGGAACATATGTCAGCTCCAAGCAATTTTGAATCACACTAATTATTGAGAATCATTTCAGTTGATTTCTGAAAGTGCCCCAGTCACTTACTTCTACCAAAGAAGGGAAGGAAAGGGGAGAAAGGTGTCTTTTGGTGCCATGACAATGATACCTCTCTTGCTTATTTCTCCGAGATGGTACAGGGGAAAGTGTGGGCAGTCATGGGATCAGTCAAGGGCTGTAGCTCCAGCCCTTCCTGGAAGAACTTACACAGATGGTGGTGCTGGAAGTCTTCGTTTTCATCCCCTGTCCACTGACATTTAAGGCAACTCATGATTCTATTGTCCCCCATGTGTTTCAATATTCATGAAACCACTGGATGAAGCCATTTGGAGTTTTGAGCTGAGAAGTCATCAACATGCAAATAGAACACAGTTCTACCTCTCTTTTCCACTGTCTACTTATTGGGATGCTGTTAAATCCCCGAACAAGTGTCTGGGGGCAGTACTGGAATGGATGAGGGATAACATGCTGAAGCTTAATCTGCATAAGGTAGAGGTATAGGAAATCTGCTAATCTGGATGGGGATTACTGAGGGCCCAGGTCTGTAGCCTGGAAATGCACCTACATTTTCTATGGAGTGCCCTATGGAGGTGAAATGGCATCACTGGCAAGAGTTAATCATTTTAAATAAAAAGAAAAAGCTGAGCTATTCATAAAGCATATACTTTGGTCATGCCCAGGTTAGATGACTGCAACTCTATGTTAAAACTTTATAGTGCTTTATTTTATTGTATTGCATATACTATTGTTAACCACCCAAAGAGCTTAAATTACTGGGCACCACAGAAATGAAATCAGTAATGTTTGTTTCTTTATACATGTATTTATAGGCCGCCTATAATTGCTGAGGCCTTCCTAGGCGGCTTAACATGAGGTGGCCCTTGAAGACAATTCAGAAACCAGAATGGGTACAGAATATAGCAGCTAGCACACTACAGCTCTTATGTAGTATTGTTTATATTGACTGCCAACTTCTTTCCAGATTCAAATCAATGTGCTGATTTTAGCCTTTAAAGTTCTAAACGAATTGTGATCCCATTATCTGAAGAACTACCTACAATTATATGACATTGCCCAACCATTTAAGTGTCAGAGGTCCTGTTCTTTGGCTAATCAGCAAGAGTTCCCAGCTGCTAGGGATATGGCTTTCTCAAAGATGGAGCTACATTCCCTCCTCAGAGAAAAACAAGGGCTTCACTATTGTGGCTTTTTAAATAATAAACTGAGAGATCCATTTGCTTCAGTCTCCAGGTGCTGCTTAAAAATAATCCACGGGTGCATCCGATTTCAGTGTTTAACTGAAACCATATACTCACAGAAGCTGTTTTTTTTTCCAATGTACACCCACAGATGGATTAAAAATTTCCTTCATAAAATGAAATATAATTACAGCATGAGGAAACGAGACCAGTTCATCTCCGCCCCACCAGAAACCACGGAAGGCAGCCCTCCCATTCTTTCGATGTACAACCTCCCTTATTGCACAGATGAGAAAAATTTAATACGGGGCTGCTTCCTCGAACTTACCACGCATTTTCCATACCCGTACTACGGAGGATACCTTCCAGGAAGCGGGCAAGTTCCTAAGGAAACTTTGCTCCGATATCCCATGCCACGAAGTTGAAAGGAGCCCCCACCCGCGCCCTCTTACCGGCTGAGGAGGAGCGTCGCGGCACTGAGCGCGAGGAGGATGCAGCAAAACAGCGGGTACTGACGGCAGGTCTCACGCAGCGCCTCCACCCCGCGAACCCGCCGGCACAGCCTCTCCCCGGCCGCGCGCACCCGCCTCATCGCCGCAGCGGCGGCGGCGGCTGACGCGCCCCACCTGCAGCTCGCGCTCAGTCACTAACTCGCCCCGGACCCCCTAACCCTGCGCAGAAACACGAACTTCCGGTTTCTCTCACGTGATCCGCGGCACGTGATCGTCCTCGCTCCACGTGAGCGGGGGCTCGAGCCAATGCCGCCGCGTCACCAGGCCGGAAGTCAGACGTGCCCGTTTCACAGCCTCTTAATTCAGCCTTTCACACTATTTGCTTCGAAGCCGTGAGCTGCCCTCTAAAGGCAGCAGTGCTCCAGGAGGCCCTGCGTCCCGTCCGCCAGCTCACGAAACCAGCCGACGGACAACGGATGAATGAATGGCACTGAAGCATTTCCGCCCTTAGCCTGTCCCTGCCCCTGCTTTACTCGGGGAACGAAATGACCTTTCAAAATGGCGTCGCTAATATCGGCTGAGCGGGCCAAAGCTTCCAAGCTCGACGCTAAACGCTGTTCTATGGGCCTTACTCCCTAAGCGGGCCTAGAAATGAAGCCTATTACAGTGCAGAGCAGCAGTACCTACTGCTTAACTAATTACCAGTACTTTAGGTAATTTAAGCCCCCTATCAGAAAACTCGTATGTTTTGCACCCTATGTGCAAAAGTTGAAGTTCTACTCTAAATAGCACAATTATCACAGCAAGGAGTTTTGCTTCCTAGAGTCTACAGCAGCCGTGGAACTCATGGCTGTAAATAACGGGCTGCAAATCCCAACAGCCGAACCTGCAGTTCAAAATCTGGAGGGCAACAGGTTTCCCATCCCTGGTCTATAATCCCATGTAGATCTCAAGCTAGTAGAGTTCGGTGTATAAAACAGCTTCACCTATTAGTTCCTTGGTTAGAAGGCTATCACTGTAGGGTTTGTAAATATTTGTAGACTATCTTCATGTATCAATGCTACCATACCACCCTATTTTATATCCATAATTAGAAAGAAAAGGGAGATCTTTCATATACTTGCAGCAACCTATCGAACTTCAGACTAGCTGAATAAATTGAATAACTTTTAATTATCCTTTTCCCCCCCCACCCAACTATTCCTAAGGTTATGTGACTGGTCCAACCTATTCTTAAGGTTATGTGACTGGTCCAACCCACACATATATTTCACCATTTTTAACTGCAGCAGGAAATCATTTTATTAGATCACTGAAGTCTTGGATTAAATCCACTATCATTTTCTGTTTCAACTATTAACATTTTTGCATTGCTTTTAAGCACAAGGTAGCTTTCTCCATCTTACCTGCAACAACCAATGACTGAATGAGAACATGATTTTAAAAGCAGACTCTGGTATAACATTGTAGGGAAGGGTACACCTTTAAATACAGAGTATAGAAAGCAGGTATAGTTCTAATTTTTGTGTTTTTTGTCATAGGCCTGATTTGAGTATAATGTGAAGTACTCAAGACAACTGTGAGGTTTCCATGACATAGGCAGAAGATAGAAACAGGTATAAAACTGAAAGGGATTGAAAGTAGTTTCCACTTCTGCAGGCAAATAAATTGAGAACAATTTCATGTATTTTTGAAATACCATAAGTTCTGTACTTTTGTCAATTACCCCCCCCCAAAATCAAAAGCAATTGCTTCAGAACTAGAGGTATAAAATGCAACATATAAACACTTCTGCTTAGCACTCATAATGCAAACAGAAGATCCAAAACTTAGAATTTAATAGCAATCATTTGAATAATGCGTCCATTATAAACACTTATTCAATCAGTGAAATGAACTCCTAGATATAGACCTCAGGTTCTTTTTGCCAATTCACCATTCCTGTAACTTTCTGAAATCAACAAATGTACCAATTTACTGTTAGTAGTCTTTTAAGTTCTCCTGTTAAGTATTGAAAGATAATGGATGCCTCTCTCCTACTTATGAAACATAAGATAATGCATCAAAATGTATAAGCAATTAAGTTTTGCTGCTTTCTCACTCACCTCTCCCCGCTGTTCTCCAAAAAGGTTTGATGTTTTCATGTTCTCATTTAAATATTTTTAAAATTGCTAATACCAGCATGAATTCATTCCAAGTAAACTAATCCTGGTAATCTAGTAATCTTGGTTTCATGATGTTTAAACATTACCACCATAGTCTTTTAATATGACCTCTTTCAACTTAATATGACCACCACAGGAACATAGAAGTTGAGGTCATTACATGTTGCATCATTACCAGTGCATGATCTGAAACAATTCTCTTATGGTAAAGAATTTTAGAACCCTGACTGGGGATAGGAGTGTGGTCTTTTAAAAAATGTACTATGTGTCTGATCTAGAGCACTGGGAATGGACTTCACAGAACTGAGATTTGGGTCTCAGATCCCCTTTTCTTAAAAACCTGTTCCTGAAGGTTGGGGGATTCTTCGTGATAGAATGGTGAGTGGTGATGAATGTTGTAGGGCAGAGGCAATCAGCCCTCCAGCTAATTTCATATGGCCCTCTGAATACAATCAGTTCAGATCTCTGGCAAGAATGAGCACTCCCAGCCCAGTGAGTAGGAAGATGGCCAAAAGGGGGAGGAGAGTGGGGCTCTGACCCTGCTCACCAACAATGTGCAGCCCCCAACTGTGACCCATGGGAGAACTGACCTTTGACAGAAAAATAGTTGTCCACCCCTACTGTAGGCGGTAAAACAGCAAAAATTCTCTCCCAAGCTTCCTCCCACAAACTCTATTACAAGAGAGGCTTAGATGCAGGGGAGCATTCTGTAAAGACTCATTCCAGTCAAGGCATCTTTAGATCTGAACTGGAATCTTTTCTGACATTTCATCCCACCTGTAATCTTGCACATATTCTTATGGACTATGTTGTTTCCTTACTTACCTGTAATTGATTGCTTATATGCCACCTATTTGAACCAGCAGGCAATCTTCCTAATATCTCTGCCTTAATTGTCTTATGTAAATATCAGGATAAAATACCTTTTTATATAAATGATCCTTATTTATTCTATATTAAATTGCAGAAGAAACATGTTTCTTTACTACATGTTCTTTTCTCTCTTTCAGAGATTTCCAAAAATGTTTTTTGCAAGCGAGTACAGCCTTCAATTTACGTTCTGAATCTCTGTTGCTGGGGAGGGGGAGGCACTACTGTGTCTACTCAGTATAAAACCGTGCAACAGGTGCACTGAGGACTTTGGTACAGACTTTTGTTTTGTCTGCAGCAATTAAATACAACAAGATGAAGACCAAAATATCTAGCTAATCATCTTGAGGTATGTTTCAGCAAACATTTATCCTTTAATCTCAGAAGCAAATAATCGTAGAAGATTCCTTTGCTGCAACTGCAAGACCTAAATACTTATACTAATGTGCTTTTAATATGAAATGAAAAATGGTTATCACCACCCCTCCACTTTACACAACATAACAGAAAAAGTGACTATACAAAGACTGTAAAAATATATGGATAGGGTTTTCTTAGCTTCCTGTAAGAGCTGATTTGTATGTTTTAGGGCAAACCAACTTCAAAATCCTTTTAATTAGCTTTCTTTTCAGCTGTTGTACTTGTAAGAACAAGTTATGGAAGTACTTACTAAAATGTTAATTATAAATATACATTTCCTTCTTCAATTTTGTATTTACTCCAGCCTTCACAAGTATGTGTTGTTATCAACTTCAATTAAGTTCCATGGCATACTATGCAAACTGCAAAGTCAGGAATATTACTTAAAATACAGGTTCCAAGAAATAATTTATCTTTAAAGTATAAATTAAGTAAATTCAACTCTTGGCCCCCTGAAATTTGCCACAGTAACCTGCATAACCCATCTTCAATTCTGTAACATATATAGCCACATTAGCAGAAGCTAACACAGAACTGCACACCACCAGAATTTCTGCTGTAATACAACAGTAACCACCTGCCGTACTATGACTATAGAATGTATGATAACTTATATATTATAAATCATATTCTGACAACTTTACTAAAATTTCATGTGGTCTAAAATATTGACACCCAACATGACCAACCCAAGGCTAGCTAAAATCATATTCCATTACCTTCAGTGTCTAATAATGAAATCTCATTTCTTTTACAAACCTAATTTTAAAACTTTTGATGTTAATATTTCAACTTAAAAGATCAATTTTTCACAAAACAAGTTTCCACATGCATTTTACTGTAGCTTTTCATTATACTGCTAAAAAACTGCACCAATGTCAGAACAGTGCAAATAATGTTTAATTGTAAAAGTCATAATGGCTTGAATTCATAATTATTTTAAGAACACTGTCAAGATTCTGGTACCCACCATTGCTTACAAACTATACAGATTATTTCCAGTCAATTTTGACATGCATCCCCACACCCCATTTATTTTCACAGCTGAAGTTGATAGATTTGACCTCAATTTCAGCTTATTATTCAATTTTATTTTAAATCTGAATTATCAATTCAATACACAATTCTGAAAAAAAAAGAAAAAATTCTCTTTCCCCTTTTCCACCCAAAATTTAACGATGCTCAAAAGCTTGCAAGAAGTTTGTTTTTCTAGCAATGGGAGAGATTTGGAAGAGTAAAGTCAGAAAGCTCTTCCTAGACCTCTTATCAGATATCAGGTCAAATTTGGCATGAACACCTTGACAGTGTTCTTCATAAGACTATGACAGTAAAGATGCCAAATGGCACAACAGCCTCATTGAAGGGAGCATTTAAATCTCCTTGGCACTGGGACCACCAGCACCAAGGATTACAATGAAATCAAAACTGTGTTTTAAGGCTACATTTAGCAAACCTACGTTCCATAAGCCTCATCCTATCAAGTTTAAGATTTTAGAAGCTGATGCAACACTCATGTTTCTTACTCAAATATGGAAAGTAGAACTTTACCATGGGCAGTATATGAAACTGTGGCAGATGTCTCATTAAACAATGACTTTTTTTTTTAAACCATCCAGCCACTTAAGTTTCTTTCTTAACTAGCAAGGCACATTTACATATTCCCATGAATACTTGACAAATTTTAAATTACACTTTTATGTCCCAGCTATCCCAGTAATTGACATACAATATACTAAAATGGTTTATTAAGGTAACAAAAATTCAATTAATGTGAGAG